TCTCTATGTGTATCAAACATACATGTACAGTGTGTATAGGCCCGCTTTATCCATGATCGAAAGGCTGCATTCTTAAAATTAATAACGTTTTTGACTATTAAAAATAATCAAAAATGTTATTAATTTTTATTAAATACTTCGTTGCTGGAAATACTAAGATGTTTGATTATTTTAAAATCCTGAAGAAAAGAGAAAAGCAATCAGCATTGGACAGATTCTTTAACCCCCACAAACGGAAAAAACATGACTAATAAAAATGCAAGACTGCATATATATGTATTTTTACTATTACATATAAATAAACGTAGTAAAAAAGTATATATTTTTTATTTTTTGGAGTCTCCAGAATGAATTAATCAAATTCCCATAAAAGCCTATGGTAAATCGATAATTGATTAACGAACAAAATCTTGGAACGGATTATGTTTGTTAACCGATCACTCACTGTATATAGAAAAGATTTTGTCTTTTGCTGTTATTCATATAATAGAATAGGTAAAAAATTCTTAAATGATGGAAGAAGTTCTACATAGAAAATTAACTGACCACAAATAGACTAGATTTNTAGTGGCATATCCACATACCTTTAGTCAAATTAATTGGTAACTAATCATTAACACAGCCCAAAAGTAGCCTGATAATTCAGCAGATCATTTGGAGTTAATTAAATTGGGTTATGAGTTGTTGTTATACGTATTAAAAACTCAGGTAATGTAATTACTGTTGCAAATGTTCAAATACAAATTTTTTTTATTCTTTCCCATTTAAAACACCAAGATTTTTTCAATTCCAGACACAGTTATAAATGTTACCATGATTCCAGAACTGTCTGGGACAAATCCAGATAAATCTATATACAGTGGAACCCCAGTTAACGAACTTAATCCGTTCCGCAACTCCATTCGTTAACTGAATTGTTCGTTAACCGAAGCAATTTTTCCCATAGAAATTAATGCAAATGCAATTAATTCGTTCTAGTCTCCGAAATTTTTGTCATTTTATTTGAAATATACAGTAATTTTCTTTGATGAAAATGTAGGAAAACGTANGCAAGCAATACAACAGTTTAAAAATTTGAAATTAATTACAATAAAATATTAAGAAAATTAATCATTGTGGTAAAGAATTAAATTAAATAAAGTATTAAGAAAATTAATCATTGTGGTAAAAATATTTCCATGCAAAGGATAGACTTTCTGCATCTCTATGGTTGATGCATCCTTTGTCAATATGAGCCTTGTAAATTTCAAGTTTTTCAATATGTTTAAGTACTTGTTTGTTGGTGGTGGTCCTAATTATGGATGCTTTGTCCCAATGTACATTAATATCTTGATGTTTAGCGAAGGCTGCAAGGATGGTACTGTTCAAGTTTTTAGTAATGGAATACTTATGTTCTTTAAGCCTCTGTTTTAAAAGTCTCATAGTGGCACCAACGTAAATGAGATCTGAATTAAAACGGCGGTCACTTAATGGAATATAATATACTCCTGTACTATTGTTACAGTTTCCTTTCTTCTTATCATTTCATAAAATTCTATAAATCATAGGGTTACGATGATAAATAATTCTTAAATTATTCTTGTGAGATAATTTTTTAATCATTGAGTGTAGGAAAGGTATATAATTGAGAACTGATATAGTATACAATGAGAACTATTCTTCGTCCTTGGTTCTTAGTTGTAGGTTGCTTATTTGTTTGATTACAATATTTAGCAATAAGAGCGTTAATTTCACTTATACAATATCCCTATTGTACAGCTATTGTACGACAGGGATATTGTATAATTTAATTCTCTATGTGTATCAAACATACATGTACAGTGTGTATAGGCCCGCTTTATCCATGATCGAAAGGCTGCATTCTTAAAATTAATAACGTTTTTGACTATTAAAAATAATCAAAAATGTTATTAATTTTTATTAAATACTTCGTTGCTGGAAATACTAAGATGTTTGATTATTTTAAAATCCTGAAGAAAAGAGAAAAGCAATCAGCATTGGACAGATTCTTTAACCCCCACAAACAGAAAAAACATGACTAATAAAAATGCAAGACTGCATATATATGTATTTTTACTATTACATATAAATAAACGTAGTAAAAAAGTATATATTTTTTATTTTTTGGAGTCTCCAGAATGAATTAATCAAATTCCCATAAAAGCCTATGGTAAATCGATAATTGATTAACGAACAAAATCTTGGAACGGATTATGTTTGTTAACCGATCACTCACTGTATATAGAAAAGATTTTGTCTTTTGCTGTTATTCATATAATAGAATAGGTAAAAAATTCTTAAATGATGGAAGAAGTTCTACATAGAAAATTAACTGACCACAAATAGACTAGATTTAGTGTTCTACTGTAATGCAAGAGATTTTAATAATAAATATTTAGAAATATTTAACATAATAGATCAATGTGAGAATTATTCTGATTCCTGGCAGTAATAAAGAGTTAGACCAATTAACTAAATATATAATCTAAAATAGATGGATGCAAACTGGAAAAGACCAAGAAATTATCTAAACAGCATGGTGGCAAAAGTCAAATTAATTATGAAATAGTCTCTGAATTGTCTTTTACTGAAAATTATACATATCTATTGACTGTAATGGCTTAATGGTTATTTATAATATGTAATGCAATAGAATATTTAGTAGAAGATGACTGATAGAAAAATATGAACATATGCTTATATCAGTCATCTTCTACTGAATATCCTATTGCATTACATATTATAAATAGTATTCTACAACTTTATAACTTCAAATACAAAAAAAGTCACTGATAATATGTAAAATGAGTTAATATTGACTTATTTAAGTAGTATTGTAATTAAATTGTCTTTATCTCAAACTGAACATTACATTACAGAATAGAACACCAAAATACGTACAATTTTGGTGTTTTATTGTGACAATTTAAATGTTTATGATAGGAATTTTAAGGAGTGTAATTGATGTTTTTCTGTTAAGTAAATCAATATCTGTTTAAGCAACATCTTGAATCTTAATGTTCTAAAACTGATTAGATCTGATGATAGAATGATAAATTTTCTGAAAACATTTATTTTTCACCTATTGAAGAAGTTTTTCTGGCTTCTTAAAACATTTCAATGTTTGTGTGATACTCATTAAAAAAGTATTTTTTTAATAAATTATTAACTTTTACAACTAACCTTATATCACTGAGATCTATTTATTAATTACAACAAACATTTTCAACCTGCTCAAATTAAAAAGTATTATAGCCAAGTATTGATTAAGTATTTCAATTATTATGATAATTACATACTTTTTTGATTAGTAAGTTACTGAATCTTTTAATTTTGTATTTATGTTGGAAAAAACATAAATAAATTAAAATTTACTTTTATAACCACTTAAAAGAGGTTTTTTTTGATGAATAAATCAAAATGTCTTTTGAAACCAATGATCATCTGATTACTGTTTTAGATTGTTACTGTGATTGATTTTGAAGAGTCCAAAATATTGGTATAGGCTTTGTTGCAGATTGTACCTTTCCTGAAGAGGGATCGGTGAGAATTCCAATCCAAAATGCATTTAAATAAAATATATGAGTATTAATCAAGACAATTAATTCTCAGATATTTTATTTAAATGATTAACCTCTGAGTAATTTTTGAACTCAGGTGAATGTTGGATTCGAAGGACATAACATTTTGGTTTATTCATCTAAAAAACCCCTTTTAAGTGGTTATAAAAGTGAATGAGTATATCTGGCAAATATTGCTAATTTTAGCTTCATATTAAATAAAAATTTTAAAATCACTGATACTATAAATAAATTTTAAACATATAAATAGCTATAGTACTGGACCAAAATTGAGTATCAGCATAGGCCTATATAAGTGGAGTTTATGAAACTCATAAAATTGAAAAACCTGGCTTTTACCTTTGCTTAAAATAGTACTGAAAGGCGGAATATTTCTAAACCTGTGAAAAATGGGAAATATTTTTATAACTTATTCCAACATTTTAAATTTAGTGGAATTTCTCATATAAGTTACCTATCATTTTTATAAGACAAACCTTTGCAAAATGAAAGCCAAAACAGTATCAAAATGGACAATAGAAAAACTAGTTTAAAAAGTCGTTCTCGTCGTAAAGAGTAAGTTTTAGCGATCAAATACTCACTTATGTAAATTAATTCCATTTTCAAAGTCATCAAATCTAGAGAGAATATTTCTAGAAAGTTTTTCTTGTTTCTTTGTTCATATGAAGGATAATTAAGTGCGTAAATCCAATACCAGCGATCGATGAGAAACACAGAATAAAGTCGTTTTGATTGCAAATCACAATAAAATAGACCTACATCATAATATTTTTTTAATACTTTACTAAAGTTTAATTTTTATATTGAATTTTACGTAAATCTATAACTGTGTATTCTTTATATACGACATATACATTATATACATTCTGAAAATCGCTACAGAAANATTAGAAAATTAAGTCTCATTTAAATACTGGCTCCCTTTCATGGTCGAATTAGTGTTGCCAGCTAAAACACGTAAAAATAATATTAAAGTAGCCAAGACATAGTCAAATATTGTAGCACCACATCACTAGCGGACATTTGAAATTTGCCAACTAGGGCGGTCGGTTAATCGGGGCTCGGATAATTGAGGCTCTACTGTATTTATAAATTTATCAACTAATTGAATTTGTTTTAGTAAATATTACTTAGGTTCTGTTGCTATTGCAACTATGCAAGAATCTAATCTTGTTGACATAATCATTTTTTTGGAAATGTTGTGTATAATCTTTGCAAAGCCTTTTAATGTGCTAAATTTAAATCCAGAATTATTTGAAAAATAATGGGAATTATGCATAATTATAATTTGTATTCTCTGGATTCATTAGTTGTTGTAATTAGATTATATAAAATATTATTCCTATGTAGATTAAAATTTTATTTTATTTCAAAATGTTATTCTTTAATTAATTATAGTTTGAATTTTGTTTTTTTCAGTACATTCAATTTCACTGTTTCTTTCCTTTCGTGGCTGGCAATTTTTGTTCTGATATCTGTCACAACTGTTCTTTATTTCGTGCCTCTTCGATATCTTGTAATGGCATGGGGTAAGTTTAACTTTTTTAAGTAAGTATTAGATGAGTTTTTGTATGCTAAATTTTCTCTTCCTGAAATTATCAGTTGGTTGTCATTATACTCTTTATCTATATATATATATATATATATATATAGAGACACACACGTCCATTTATATATATATAGATATTTCTTTTTTATCAAAATATAACTGGTGATACTTTGATTATTTTATCGTTAAATCTATG